ATTTAAATCAGATCAACTCTTTTGTTTTACATCTTTGGGTTTTATTTTTCATCCAGGTGTGGCTGGTAGTGACTGTACAGGGGAAAATGCTGGATGCATTGCAGTGTCTGATTTTAAAGTTTATTATGTAAGAGACAGTGACAGTGATTCGTCCTAACTCCTGTGGTTCTAGCATTCACCCACGAGGCCTTTGTCCCACACCAGCATCGCCAAAGTCCTTCAGGGATTTATTATTAGTATTAGGATTTATCAGTATTATTTAGAGTCGCATTTACTCTTTTTATTGTTTTTGTTTGCTTTAATATGGGGCAAACAAATGTTCTGTTAGTTAATGTGGTTTAATTAGAAGAACCCAGTGAATCTCACAGAAAAATTCAGCCTGCGTATGCAGTGACGTGCTCTTGTCACAGCAGTCTCTCAGGAGGAGAGTTTGGTCACTCACACAAAGTTGGACAGATCTGTTCAATAACAACATTCTGAACATATATTTAATATTAAGTTATGTTTTACAGACCAAAGTCTCTGGTAGTTCAGGAGCAAAGTGCAGGAGGAGAGGAGAAGTCAGGACTGATCGCATCGCTGCAGTAACGCCAGTCAAACCGGCCCGCTGCTTCAACCAAAGTTGCTCTCACTGAAAGTCCCGCCCTGCTCTGCTCTAATTGGATAAAACGGCTCTGGATATTGTCTGATTTGTTGAAGGCAGTGTCCATTTAATCCTTATATCAGGGTCCCGCTGTGGCGCACCAAACAACGATCCATTCACACCAGTACCGCTGGATTCTTTTTTCTTCTTTCTTTTTTTAAGAAATCAGGTCGCATTTGCGACCAAACTGGTTGCACTCTAGAGCCCTGCTAACTGTTGTTTTGACAGACAACCAGGTACAATCTTAGGTATGCAAGGGAGCTTTATGACGTTACATCTGGTGCGCTTTTTCCTTTTTTTACTGCGCACGTGTACCTGCGCACTGCTTATGTGCACCTGTGTGTGTGTGTATAGTCAAAGCAAAGTTAGTTCTCATATTAAAAGTTTTAACACTGAGCATCATTCAGATCATTCAGTAAACTATGGTACACTGTGCTCTTAGAGGTCAAATTTTCTTCACTGGGTTTATAATTATATACAGCATTTAGTTTTGCGTATCTTTTACAGTCTACTTATGGTAAAAGTAGGGCCCCCAAATATCTAGGGCCGGCCCTGCATACACTTTCATTATTAAACATTTAACAAAAGACAAAGTGGTGTGCATTCACACTTAAAGGTGACTTTATTGCAAATGATTTACTTCTATCCTCTACAGACCTGGCTTCAGCGCCCCGCAACTGACTCAGCTCTGTTTTTGTTTTTTCTGCCTCAGTGAGTCTTTTTCCCAGGGTGTTTTTAAACATGCTGCACGGTTTGTTTCACCCTGAACCTGGGCCAATGTGTGTTTGTGGAAAACTGTGTATTAGTGATGGGCAGTTTGAAGCTGAAGCTTCGGCGCATGTATTGAAAAAAACAACACACTGTTTCAGAAGCACTGTGTCGGAGCTTGATTCGTTTGGTAAAAGTCATGTGATCAGTGACGTCCGA